TATGGAATATAATGATCAACATAAACTGATGAACAAAAATAGATCCAGAGACATAGAAACACTGAACAGACTGTCCAACCTCAGGGGGAAGGCAGGAAGGGGAGGTTAGAGAGCAACCAAAGGACTTGCATGCATGCACATGAGCATAACCAATGGACACAGACACTGGGGCAGTGGGGGCTTGCCCAAGGTGGGAATGGCTGAGGTGGGGGGGGGGGTCAATTGGGGAAAAAGGAGACATATGTAAAACTTTAGACAATAAAAAAAAATGAAGTTTCATTTGTTGCAAAAAAAAATAAAATAAAAATCAGACCCTCTGGAGTGGCACCTAACCGGTAATATGCTTTAAAGCTCCCCACGAGATTCCAATGTATAGCCAAGGTTGAGAGCCATGGGGTTAGATAAATTTCTAAAGCCCCACAAGCTATAACAATCTACGATTTGAATAAGTTATGTGGGACAATATAGTCTATTCATATGCCATCGAAATGCTTCCCTTGAGTCTAGAGATTGTTTAGAAGAGCTTCTCTAAGGATTTGTTAGACTCCTTGACTGCTAAATTCTAACAGGTATCTGGGCACTATGGCCTTTAGAACCTAGATCTAAAGACGAAAAGAAAAGGCTGCTTAGTTTAGTTTTGTTGTTTTTTTTTTTTTCTAAAAAATAGCAGCTTAGCTACTTAGTCTTTCAAAGGGACGAACATATTCCCAATTGAATTGATTCTCAGTGTTTTTTCATATTGTCAACAATGCGGAGGGAAAAAACCTCTCCCCAGTAGTCTCTGCAAGCAAAGCCAATAGATATATGCTTGAGGTCAATCCATCCCAGTGGGAGTTGGAAGTGGAGATGATCAGGGACATTAACTCTCCTCCAATACTATCTTTCTGAAAAAGCGCAGCTGTATGGGGGCAAAATAAGTCAGAGCTTTGGAGGGCTTTACAATTTTTACTTTGACAGAAACCTTCACAACAACCCTGTGAGGTGGGTCCTATTGTTCCCCTGTATTACTGAGGAAGAACAACCCGAGGCTCAGAAGTTAAGCAACTTCCCTCCTCAAACCGAGAATAAATGGCAGAGCTGGGACTTGAGCCTGCACTCCTAGCCTTCATTCTACTGGCACTGCTCTCAGTACTTTGGGTGAGGAACAGGTCTGGGGCTCAGAAAACTTGGTATCTGAGTCCCTCTGGCTATAAGGAAAACCTCAAGAACTTGTTAAGCATCTGTTTTCTGCTCCATCAATCTGGGGTGATAGCTCCTACATTCCCTCTGGGTGAGAATGAGAAAGCACATGTATGAGTCCTCATGCCTATTTCCATGTAAGATGCGGCCTGACCTAACACATCTTTCCTGCATCTCAGCTGCAAGTGATTATTAGGTGCCTCTGAGGGAGAAAGCCAGGCTAATATAGCCTTAATGTAATCACAGTGAAGGTGATCTACATAACAAAGTTTTCCAGCATGCAATCAACTCTATGCTACTAAAAACAAATCTTCATTAAAGATAGTTTCCTCAAAATAATCTACAATCCTACATAACTTTAATAAGCTTTATAGTAAAAAGTAGTCAAACAAACTATTAAAACTTGCAATAGAAAAGCAGGACTATGTAAGCTGAAATGAGAGTTCCCCATTGGAAAGCTTCATTTGAGGGATACTTTTAATACAGTTTTTAAAAAAAACATACTTACCATTGTTTTCAAGCCGAAGATGAAATCTGTTAGCCACAGGAGCCACTGTGTATGATGTCAATGGACTGTAGCCATTGTCCAAAGCCCACCTGACTAGATTCTCTTGGGTTGAAAGAATGTCATCTCGTATTGATTTGGTCATTATCATGGATCTTTCACTCTCTTTCCCAAAGCCAATACTGTTCGGAGCCTGAAGATAGTAGCAAAATTTCACTTATGAGTCTAAACAGTGCTTTAGATAAGAATAATTGAATATCTAAAACAAATAGAGTCTATATTGTATATGAAGAAATTATTCTTTTAATCCCTATTTTCCTTGGACTAAGAATATGAACACTGATGTGGAAAAATATATATATATATAATCCTCACCAGAGAATATGTTTATTGATTTTGCAGAGACTGGAAGTGGGAAAGAGAGAGAGAAACACTGATGTGAGAGAGAAACATGGATCAGTTGCCTACCCCACATACCCTGATCCCCGCAACCTAGGTATGTGTCCTAACTGGGAATCAAACCTGCAACCTTTTTGGTGTACAAGACGATGCTCCAACTAATCAAGCCACCCAGCAAGGGCTGATGCAAAAATCTTTAACAACAGATTAAGAGAAATCTATTCATGCTGTTTGATCATAGCATTTGGGTTGCTTATGTTGATAAAAATAATCTAATGATAGCTAAGCTATATACTAAGTATATCTAGTATGTTATTGCAGAGTTAACGTTTAAACTATTAACACACACACACCAAATATGTATGTATACTGAACTTTCCTTTATTTTTATTTATACAGCTGTGCATGTTATATTATATAAAAAAAAGTCTGTTTCTACTTCCTGTAGCCTAGATTTACATGAAAGAAAGCACAACCTAGTTACTTCAGTAGTAACTAGGAGACTATCTCATCTATGTAAACTATTAAATTCATATGGTGAAACCATTGTTTATATTTCATTTACAATTTATGATCTATTTAGCAATACCGTAATTGTACTCATCTGCCAATTCTATTAACTGAATAGGCTTAGATCTTATGCTCTAAATATTAGTTAATTTAGGTTACTGTGCCTCTAAATCAATATTTTATCCAGCAAAACAAATCAGTCTTAAAATTGGCTTTCACTGGTAATCAGTGACAAAGTTAAAACTGAATGATAGAAATCTTTCCAGGAAAGGACCTAAGAGGACTCTGAGGAACCAGGACATGGGAGGTAATTTTCCAACCACCTCTGACTCCTGCAGCAGTAATCACGTCAGATGATGAGGGAGCTGACTGCGGCACAGAGGACCCCAGCGGGAAGGCCCGAATTGCCAACAACTGCTCCACAGGCTGAAAGCCCTGCCAGCGGCAGATTATGGCACTTCCATGCTGCATAAAAATCACTTTAATTTCCATGCCCAATGCTTTTCTCCTGCATACATACAGCATTTTCCCTAAATTCCCCATTTGTTTCCCATTCTGTTTGTCCCTAACATGACTAAATGTTAATCCTTTCCCACTGCAAAATCATAGAGGATTCACAGACTCTATGTTCTCTTGGTCTCTTTGGTTGTGGGAGATTGGCTGAGGACACATTTTCGATTCAGAGGATAGAGGAACTCACCCAGTATGTTTTCTATGACCCAAGGTGCTTATCTGAGAAAAACAAAACAAAACTGCACACTGGGCAGGCAGTCATGCGCAAAGGGACGGACGGCTTCAACCAAGTTCTGTGGCCATTTGCAAAAAACCCCCAAACCTCAGCTTCATAGGTTTGGAATAGTCTAACTCTCATTCTGATCCAAAGAAAACTCCCTGAGGGAAAGAAGGGTTAAAAATAGAAAGAAAACTAAACTGAGGTAAAGAAGGATCCAATCTGTTCTTACAACTTTTTATTCATTTAGTCAACAGCAGTCTCTTAAGCACAGCTTCTTCCCAGCCTTTCAAAGCAGCGTATCGTTTTGATTGGCTGGGGCTGCTTGGCCTCATCTGCCCTCGTCTTTCATGTTGTTGGACAGCTGAGAAAATACTGTATTTCCAGAATACTCTCATCATAACTGCCACCTGTCCTTTCTGTACCCATGTGGAGTGATTTGTTTACACCTTTCCACATGAAATCTGGGAGCTGTCAGTACAGCTCACATTGATTATGCCTTGGGATTTACAAGGCTACAAATCTATCTACACGTTTGTGAAGCCGCGAGGCTTGCAGCAACGGCAGGCAAGTTGGTTGCCAGCAATGAGTGAATGTCTCACCCTGTATTTCTGGGAGTCCCCAGGGTTTCCCAAGGCCTCGGTGTAGCTGCTCCAATGGGAGTGTTCAAGGGGGGTCTCCAAATACCACTGCCACCTTTCCCCACTCACAGCTTCACGAAAGATGATGAGCTAGAAAACTCTGAGTGCCTCCATCTCCTCCCCGACCACCCAACACACGTTTGCATCGGAACTGTTGGTGTAGGGGAGGGGCCTGTGGGAAGGGCTGGGCGGAAAGTGTGGTCCACGTTCCCACTGGGATGAAAAAATGTCTAAGAACAAATTGGCTATTGCCAACCTTAAAGTCCTAAGGCCATGAAATAGTACAACGATAAATTTCCAACACGTTTCCTCCATCTATTCTTTTGTTTTGGAGGTTCTTCCGAAATGTGATTATGCATAGTCCATAAGAACCTAACGGGAAAGCCAGAGCGTGCACAGCAAGGCAGGCACTTCTGGAATTCCCATTCTTGCCCACAGCACAACATTTGCATCTCTTTGGACCATTGTGTCATTTGGAGGGTTCATTCTGTGCACACCTCACCCTTCACATATACACATGCCATCCATGCTCTTCTTTAAATTACCCCATTAAGTTCCTTACAATCGTTAGTAGACAATTTTCTTTGTTTTCACTTTGTTTAGAGAAGTTAATTGCTCCTATAGACAAACTTTCAAGGGATGCTTATGGAAGAAAGATGAACTCCCTTTGTAAGGCACACATACTGTGCTAGGAGCTTTACCTAGGTTATCTCATTTAATGTCCTCTAAAATATAAGGAGACAGGTACTGCTGTCTCTCTGCTGGAGAAGGGGAACCTGAAGCTCACAGAAGTTTAGAAGACCGGCTGAGAACTCACCCGGTGCAGGCAGTGTGCCACGTATATTAGATGAAATAGCCAGCGCCCACTTAGCAAATACTTGTTAAATGAATAAATTAACAAATGAACAAACTCTGTTAAACCTACAATTACTCTCAAGATGACTACTATCATCGTATCCATTTCAGAGCTAAGGAAACAGACTAGATAGAGTTCAACTGGCTTACTCAGTCTCAACTGGGAGTACTGACCATTGGAAATGGGATTTGAATCCAGCCCTGTCTGGCAACAAAGCCAGGACTCTTTCCACTCTACCATACTGTCTCTAGAGGACACCCTAGAAACAAGGTCACTATAAACCATGTTCCTCTTTCTAAGCACGAATATATGCCTTCTTATTAGTAGGTAACTTTCCCTCACAGCACAGTCAGAATTCACATCTGAGACAGGGAGTTAGGAAATCACAAAGCATGAAGCTGATTGGGGGAATAAAAAAGAACATCATGAAACATTACCTAATTGTTTAGTAATGCTGCCATGCATTGTCCAAAATTGGCCTGGAACAGGAGCTCGGCCAAGGAGAGAAATATAAACAGATCTTACACTGAGATGAGCAATCTCCAATTCGTAGAAGTGGAGACATTCAGAGCGAACCCCAGGACTGCCACGGGCCAGGCACTCATACTCAGGGAGCGACAGAGCACTGAAGGGTCGGGGCTGAGAGAACATTTACACAAGAACTCCAGCAGGGAAATAAAATGTACCGTATGTTTTTGTCTTTCAAAGCTTGATTCCCTTTCCTGTTGTTGTTATTCTGAAATTAAAAACATTTGATTGGTGTGCCAGGCAGCAAAGGTTGCAGACACCTCAGGTCACCAACATCCCTCACATGCCGTGCCAGGGAAGGCAACCAACACAGCTCTGACTTCACAACATCACTGCCGGGCCTTGCGCTCAACACCAAATTAATGTATCATCGTTACACAGGATGGCTTGCTTGGATGCCTTCAAAGTTTAAAAGAAAAAAACCACAGGAACCAGAAACGATTACTTTAAATTAAGATGTGTGTGTTCGTGGCTTTGCCTGCTGCCTCTGGTGAGCGCCTGTACATGACGTTGCCTAGGGGACCACTGGTTTTGCTCTCTGCTGTACCACACGAAGGTGCCATGAAGAAATAATACCCAAACCAAAGGCTTTCCTCTCCCCAAACACTGAAAACATAACACCCCCTCCAATGGATTCAATGCAGATGCAGAAAGACGAACTGGCCACAATTTTTTAAAAAGTGCATAAAAATGTGAGCCTGCAAAAGAGATGCTAAAAAGGTTATTATCTTCTTAAAAATCAGAAGGGGGATTTTTCTTCGACTTTCGTTATGATTTGCTCCAAATATTCTGTCAAATAGTCATTTCCCTAAACGTATTTGAAAAAGTTTCATTTTACCAAATTTCAACATTCAACTTTTCAAGAACTAGTTGCTGTTTGCCTATCGGGCCAACCAGCTAAACCCCTACGGAATATTTCCTTCATGAAACATAATGCTTAGGGAACAGGTTGGGGGCGGGGTTTCTCTAGTGTCATCCCACTCACGTTTCCATTATTGTGAATCTATGATCGGTGTTTCGCCCTGAGAAAAGACATGCCAATATCACGTGTTTAACTCAAAAGTCGAGTCCTGGGTCTTCCAGGACTCAATCATGATGGCTGCATTGTGTTCATTATCTTATACTTAGCCTGCTGGGAAACGCACCAATATATTTCAGGCGGGTCACATGGGACAAGCGAGGTCCAGAGAGGTTACAGGACTGGCCCAAGGCCACAGTTTGTAAATGGCAGAGTCTGCACTCAAATCTGACCCCAGGAGCCATCATTTTAACCATCACTCTCTGCATCCTCATCAGGAGGAGCCAAGGAGCAGGCTATTTTACAAAGTGGAAAATCGCTGAGAGAGCTGAGAGAGAGTCCAAGGAGGCAGAAACTTGACAATAATACCACATATAAACATGGCTGAAATGACTGCCAGTCATCAAAACGAAGAAATGCTCAAGCAACTTACAACAACTGTCAGGCTTCCCTTAACATCGAAAGATTTGATCACCCAGTTGACAGACTTCTTGCACTTTAAGATCAAGATGAGATTTTTGACCACCTCAGGATCCTTCCGAGAAGGTCTTATGTCAATTATGATATCCACCTGGAAAGCGCTGGGAGTGGAAAACAAAGGCAGAGTTAGGACCCAAATGCCAGAAAGTTGCAACTATCTTCCTTCTTCCAAGTCTTCATGTTTCCCGTGTCTGGCCAGTTGATTAAAAAGCTGGAGCTGATCCCAGGCAAATGACATGTGCAAAACAGATTGTTAGTGCACACACAACAAAACAGCCTTACATAACAATAGGAAAATATGCCGCTGATAATTAGCCACTCATATTTTTCTCCTCTTTGAGTGGAAAAATAAAAAAAGGTGGTTAATGCAGCCACTGCTTGAAATGGACTTGACCAAATCAGAAGAGTTTGCTTTTGAAGCAAAATTATTGCTTTTGCAACCTTCAACACCTTTAGTGCTTCCGTGTGTAACTTTCCCTCATGCTGTATGTTCAAAATCCTTCAAGACCAGAAGTGGGCAGCAGTTTGATGAGTGGGAGATGGCAGGGAGGCGGGAGGAATGGCAGTAATAAAAATAGGTAACTTCAGAATAAGAGGCAAAAAGTCTGAAGAATTTCTTGACTTATATAATAAGGTTTGCTTAAGCCATTAACATTTGCTACCGAATCCTATCTGCACTTACTTTCCCAAACTTCTGGATATACACTTATTAAAATAAAGAAAACAGATGGCCAACCAAGTGATTACTGGAAAATTGATGAACACAACCCAAACTTTGAAGACTTCAGTATAAAAGATAATTTTTACCAAACAATAACATCTCTGTCATTCCGAATTTAAAGGAAAGTCTTTACATTGTGGTTTTACACACTTGTAAAGAATAAAATGAATGATGTGAATGAAGCCTTAGGCTTAATATTGCAGCATTGTTTGCCATACTGCTTCTATTCTCATTCCCTTTTAATTTTTCACAAAATTCTCCATGTGGGACAGAATGGAATCTTACCAAAACTCAACTATAGTTGATTCATTTTTAAAAAATCAAAATTTGATTAGAATTTTAACTTCAACATCCCTCTACAATATAAATTGACATTTTTAAGTCATTAGTCCACATGAAATGCAGGCTAAAGTGGAAGAAGAGCTAACTTTCCCCCCCTTTTATTTCTTTTTTTAAAATTCCCTGTTCATTCTTGATAGGGAGGGTTAAATTTCCAGGCCTGACTCAGGAAGTTGAGGGGGGAGGGGAAGAAGGGGCACAAGGGAGAGGTAAGTTACATCTAACAGCTGTTTGGCATGTCACTATGAAGGGCCACCCCCAACACTAATACACACAGCTTGGAAGTAAGCAGTTATGAGTGCAAAGGTGCTTTGATGACACTAGGAACAGGACTCTATAAACACAGAATATTATTCAAGTAATAATTATGGTGATAAGACACATTGCGTAATTTTCTTACCAAGGATAACCTCCTAGGACAGTGGTTCTCAACCGTTTTGGCGGTCGAACGACCCTTTCACAGGGGTCGCCTAAGACCATCCTGCATATCAGATATTTACATTACAATTCATAACAGTAGCCACATTACAGTTATGAAGTAGCAACGAAAATAATTTTATGGTTGGGTCACAACATGAGGAACTGTATTTAAAAGGGCCAGAAGTTTGAGAACCACTGTCCTAGGAGATAATGATAGATCAAGAATGACTGTGTCCTGACGGGGAGGTGGGTGGGAGAGGGCAATGGAGGGGGGGAAAGGACGTATGTAATACTTTCAGCAATAAAGATTAAAAAAATAAAACCAATAAATTTTAAAAAATTATTATTATTTTTTAAATGACTGTGTCCTATTAACTGGTACCAAGAAGTTCGGAATAGGCTTCAGGAACTCAACTGCAATGGAGAGGACCTAGAGACAGGCAGAAAATAAGACGGACTGCTGGTGCCTTTCCTCCCTTCTTAAGGCTTCTGTGACTCTCACCCCCAGCACGCGGCTCCCGCCCTCCCACACAGGAAGGGCCACCCCTCTCCCTGCCTCCAGGCAAGAAAGGTATTTGTATTCATCTCGTCTCCGTTCAGAACACACACTCACTCACCTGTAGGGGTTAGAGTTGGGGGTGATTAACTCAATGATATGCACTTCCTTGTCCAGGGGCTGCCTGGATATCACACACCCTTCTGCTGCTTTCGGCTGAAGGTACTCAGCCAGGTAATTGAGCGAGAGGAAATTCTTCCCGATGTTGCACGCAAGAGGGAACACTTGATCTGAAAGGAGAGAAGCGCAGAACCAACTGTGGAACCACCGATCTCCATGGTAACCAGATTCAAAAGAAAGAAGGGCAGGGCACAAGGACCATGAGTGCAGAGGAGGGGGTCTGAGATGCCTCCCCTCTGGTCACCAGTGACCTCCTACTGATCCGACTCTCCCGGCCTCTTTTGGTCTAAATCCCCTCCTTTCCTGTTCGCTGGGATACTGCTTGGTCCTCGTCCATTTCCTCACGTATCTCTCAGGCTCTTTCACCGGCTCCTCCGCCTCCGCTCATCCTTTACACACTGGTGGTCCTCAGTCCTAGGGGCACATCAGAATCCACCACCCCAGGGAGTCTGATCCAGAAGCCCCAGGGGAGCCTAGGAGCTTTCTTTGTGAAAAGCTGCACAGCTGATCCTGACAGAACACCAAGGCTACCAACCTCATTTCCTTCGTCCATCTTTCTGTCTCATACTCTTCCTGCATGACCTCAATCACTGCGATAGCTCCACGTGTTCCCAGATCACGGGGCCTTTTCTGAGCTGCAGACCTGTACTGTCATCTATCTACCCAGCACCTCCCGCCTAAAAACCCACTGAAGATTTCAGTCAGCACACCCCACACTGCATCCAATGAGCTATCCTACCACCGGTATGCTCCTCCTTGGATATTGGTTACCTCAATTAATAGGAGGACCAGCGGCCTAATTAACCTCTGGCCCACCACGCACAACACATCATTCCCTTCTATTTATTCCGCCCAGCACTTTATACTCTCAGGACTGAAGGCAGCAGCTTGCAGAATGCAATGAGGGCAGACTCTCATCCTGTCCCACAATCTTGACCCAGATGACTACTGTTTCTATGGCGCTGTACAGTTTACAAGGTGCTCTGTGCGAGGGCTGCTCGTCACCCCCACCAGGGAAAGTGATGCAAGGCCCCGGTCCGAAGACACTCCCCCAGTGGCACACGCCGCTTGCACAGCACTGTGGTTGATGGGATTTCCATTCGGTGGTTTAAACGTTTAAACAGAACTTGAAGCTGCTGGCATTGTGACAGCTGGGACCAGCGTCAACAAAGTTCTAGGTGCAGCAAACCCTTCTCAGAAGGGGTAATTAATCAGAGCCCTGGCACTTTAATGAAACAAACTTCTGCCCTTCTCGTTTAATGGACAGGATGCCAGGGTTCAAATTCACGTGCGCGTCTCACCGGGGAGCGAGGAATCAGCCCAGGAGGCACCAAGCTTGGGTTGATCATTCCCTCCCTCACCCCTGCCCAATGTGTGCTACTCCCTCGTGCGGAAGTGCACAGCACACACTGTGGCAACAGGGCTCCATGCACCATGGCGCCCCCAGAGCCATCCCTAGAACAGAGGGGACCAGAGGAGCTCCCCGCCTGCAGCTCCTTCCAAGAGAGCGTTAGCTCTGCACTCTGCATTCTTCCCTAACGACCCCCTCAGAGAGAGAAGAGCCAGGGCTCCGCCAACTCGGGCTGCTGGAGCAGCCTCCCACCACATCTGCCGAGGGGTGTGCCAGATGAGCAGATGAGGAATGCACACCCTGCAGCTGCGGCCCTGCGGATGCCTCCCCCAGATCACAGGACCACAGGACGGAAAATGATACTGGGGCGGCAAGGCTGAAACTTCATTAAGAAGCAGAGGGTGTGTGGATGGGCCAGGACAGGCCACTCTCGAACTCCGGAGACTAGAACTCTCCTGGGACTCCAGCCTCTAAATGCAGTTCACAGGGGTACCCGGTAGGGTAGGTCCATGGTATAGGTTTCCTGAATTACCACACGGTTATGTGAGATTTGAAACCTTCACAAAGCACTCACCTACACTGTGACCCACCTAAGCCACCAGGAAAGGGTGAATTGTTTAAAAGTTGCTGTTATTAAGGGCTCAGATGCCATTGCCACTAAGTTGAATAAGCTAATCACTTCTTATTGTGTATGCGTGCGTGTGTATGTGTGCGTGCGTGCTTGTGTGTGTGATTTTCCCCCCAAATGACCTTCTGCATGCCTGGCATCAAAACTTACATCAACTGCCAAGTAGAAAGGAAACCACAAAGGGGAATCCCCGGGTAGAAACCTGGCATGTTTGGGGTGGGGGAGGGGGCAGTCACATGCTTATTTGTATTTCAGGAAAGGGCTGACAAATGACTTTGAGACCTTGAATGATACTCTCTGAGCCTGGGAGGTGGTGCAAACTCCAAATTTTCCTGCTGCAGAAACTGAGGCTCCAGCGGTAAATCTGAGAGCTGCTTAAAGTTTCACAATTAATGAGAACGGCTGGGATAAGCACCAGGAACTCTGCGGTCCCTCCCCTCAGGTTAGAGCCGTCGTTCTCAGACATTCGTGAGCCCCAGAATCACCTCCAGTGCCCCTTCAGACACGGGTGACCGGACCCACCCCCAGAGTTTCCGATTCAGGGGCCCAGAGTGGGCCCCAGAACTGATATTTCTAACAAGTTCCCAAGTGACAGGGAGGCCACAGGGGTGGGGCCCACACTTTGAGAACTACTGAGGCTAGACTAGAGCAAGAGGAGGCTGGGGTCCCTGGGTTGTAGGGTAGAGAAAGGTCGGTTTCTGGGAAGGTAGCTGAAGAGGCTTGCTCAGTGGACGCAAACCCATGGGGAGACACAACATCGCCTCGTGGCCCATTGACAGCCCTAACCCAGGACTCTCATTCCCTTTAGCTGTTCCTCTCCATGGTGTGGGCCAAAGACTTAGACCCAGCTGGTGGCTACAGTCAAGTGTCAGGGGCTCCAACGGTGTGACCAAGGAGTAAACCAGGTTTTACTGCACTAGACATTACATCCTTCCCCGACCCAGTGTGTGGCCTTGGGAAGTCACTGAGTCCCTCACCTGAAGGCAAGGGATGGCTGGGCACCGGGGCTTGTGCACAGTCAAGAGAACAGAGCCCAGCATTCTAAACGTTACCATAACACATTTTCTTATTCTAACAAATTCCAGCGGGGGTCATCAACATTCTTTCTCGCTGCTAGAATTGTTTCAGAAATGCAGACCATTGGCCAGGGCTTAGAGCCACTGTGAAAAGAGATGTTTCATCTTGTTCCAAATGGACCTGACTTCTATTATGAGCTACCTGACTAGCATGACAGTTTAGCAACAAACTTCAACTTTTTAAACCCAAATCTCATCTCAAACTCCTCCTCTCTTTACTCTGCTGAATAATCCTTTCCATCCAGGTGGCCCACTGTCATTTTCAGGTTCTGCTTATTCCGCAAAGACTTCACACACACCATCAGGCAACACGCACTAGACTCGAGAGTCAGGAAACCTGGGTTTGAGTTCTGGCTTTGCCACGTGCTAGTCATGTGGATTTGAGCAAGTTAGCTTCACCTTCCACTAACCCCTCTGTAAAAGAACGGAAATAATGGCCTCCTGGGATTCCTGGCAGGGTTGGCGGGGCGGGTGCATTTGAAAGCACCTGCTGTGGCCTCTGCACACAGCACACACTCCAACGTCAGTGCCCACCTTTCCTGCGTCTGCCAAACAGTCCAGATCCAAAAAGGGCTGGGTGCAGGCACGCAGGAACCCCTGGGAGCTGCCATGCTGTGTGCAGAGGGGGTGGTAGCCGCTTTAAATGCACCAGAAAGCAGATGGACGCTCAGGACCTGAAGTGCAGTTTTCACACAATCACCTGACTATAACAAGGGCCCTTTCACAAGAGTCATTATTTCTAGTAATTTATGGGGGTTGCAAACATATTCCACTAGAAATAATAATGAAAAAAGTTATTAAAAATAATAGGCTTCCAAAATTGAGTCACAGAATATTTATATCCCTCTGCACGGCAAGGAAATTAAAATGGGCGATCTTCTATCAAGGCTGTACAGTTAGTTGCTTTCTCTAATAATTTACCCTTGCACCAGGCCTTAGTATTAAAAATATATGCAAGCACTTTTCCTCTGCTGTTGTCCAAAATTTAACTGCCATCTCAAAATCATCAACTGACATCAGCTTCAAATGTTTGCAAAATAATAGGTAAGAGGAAGCCCTAACTGCTGACCCATTCTGCCAGCAACCCCTTCATACCCCCGGTGATCACCTCCTTCCCCACACTCTCGGCTTCTTGCTCGCCACTCACTTTTCTAACTTCTGTGTATGGCTGTCTTCTAAATCCTACACCACAACCCACCCACCCCCACTACCCCCACCCCACTCCTCTCCCAACTAGGCTACTCCCCCATTTCTCACTTGGCCACGTTAGCTCAGAAGGAAAACGGGAAGGAGGGGACGTGGGGGGGAACAGGCCCCAGGGATCCCTCAGGTCCCTGCCAGCTCCGACATTCTGTAATTGCATGATTCCTTACCCTAACCACCTGGTCTCAGGAAAGAAAACAATGGACTGCCGTAAATCAGCCATTAACTGAAATCACATAAAATGTACCTTCTCCCACTTTAATGTAAATGTTTCGTGCTATCTTGAGTTCGGTGAAGGAAGTGACTGCTCCATACTCCTTTTGGGCCCAGTTTAACAGATGTTCATTTCCATGTGGGAAGCTCCTTTCTTCTGTTTTTGCTGACAATGAGAAGTTTCTGGATGAGAAGTGGACCTCAGAACCCTCAGACACCTAGAGGAAAGAGAATTGCACACTGAACGTGGTGCAGTCACCTGGAGCTGAGTCATAATTAGAGAGCACTTAGCAGACAACTGACTGGTATCTGTCAATCCAATTTCTTCCCTTGTCCCACAGGCAGGGTATCTTTTTTCAGCAACCGACTACAGAATAACCTCAAGCCTACTTCTCCCCGCTAATGAAAAAGCTACCGAGGACACAGGCTGTCCCTTTACATTTTTAAAGAACTTTGTGGGGACAGATTGCAGAGTCGCTGCAGTCTGTAGCATATGAATTATCATGGCTGTTTTCCAGATATCTAAATTGAAGACCCATCTTTCAAAGTGTTTCAAGTCGAGTCTTGGTGTCGTCATGGGCTTGGAATGAATGGGCTTCAGGATCAGGGCAAGCAATCCCCAAGTCCTGCTAGCAGGGGAACTAGACTTCCAAGCCTTCCCCTGCTGCAGTATCACCGCCACAGGGACACAGCAAGAGCCTCTCTGGATTATGTTCTCCTGAGCACAGAGATACCAAGAATGGCCAGAGAGTGCCAGTCTTCTAACCCCTTACACTACTTCCTGGCAGTGAGATGAATGTGCACTCAGTTTATTTTTTAAGACCACCCCCCATTTCCCACAGATAATGAAGTCAAGAGGCTGTTAGACTCAGCCTAATAAAACTTCGGCGATGATTTATGCAAGTCCCACACTCTTTTTTTAAAAAATATATTTTATTGATTTTCTACAGAGAAGAAGGGAGAGGGAATAGAGAGTTAGAAACATCGATCAGCTGCCTCCCGCACACCCCCCACTGGGGATGTGCCCACAACCAAAGTACATGCCCTTGACTGGAATCGAACCTGGGACCCTTCAGTCCGCAGGCCGACACTCTATCCACTGAGCCAAACCAGTTAGGGCAAGTCCCACACTCTTGCTGAACGTATTTAAACGACCGCTGACCTAGCAAATGGTTCATCCACAACTGAGAAGCCCTGTCCTGGTGGGCACTGAGGGATCCGTAATTTGAAAAACAGTCATAGGTCAGGCCCAGGGTGGGCACCTCGAAGCTTCCTCTACACCAGGGCTTCCTCACCAGAGGGGATTTGTCTCCCAGGGGGACAATGTCTATAAACACTTTTGACTGTCACTCTGGGAGAGAGGAGCTACTGGCAGCTAGCACGTGGAGACCAGGGTGCCGCTGAATATCCTACAGGAGTACACAGGGCAGCTCCCACTATAAAGAATTATCCAAATGTCCACAGTGCTGCGACTGAGAAATCCTGGTCTGTATTTTGGACTGTCTGAATGTTACTACCACTCAAACATCTCCTGGGTCCCCAAACTGACAGCTCTTTCTTTATTTCAAGTACTTAATGCAGAATAAGAGAACCTTTCGGGTTTGTACTGGCTTGGGAGGGCCAGAACTAATTATTAATAACCTGACCGTAAACTATGACCACTAACAGTCGTTATCATTTGTTGAACACCTACTATGTATTAAGCTCCACACAGTGCTATCAAGTGTGGTAAGGACATTTGCTAAATGTCCCAATGCCAGTTATAAATAAAACCAATGGGTACTGCTTAGCTTCTGCCTTGTTCTGACATCTCCTGCATAAGAAAAAAACCCCTGAGCCTGGACAGCGTGGCTCAGTGGTTGAGCGTCGACTTATGAACCAGGAGGTCATGGTTCGATTCCCAGTCAAAGTACATGCCCGGGTTGTGGGCTCAATCCCCAGTGGGGGAGGTGCAGAAGGCAGCCAATCAATGATTCTCTCTCTCATCGTTGATGTTTCTATCTTTCTCTTCCTCTCCCTTCCTCTCTGTAATCAATAAAAATATACATTTTAAAAAAAAGAAGAAAACCTCTGAGCCATTTACCTGCCAAACAATTGCCATGCCAACCTATGTATAAATCATCTGAGGCTCAACTACTTGTCAACACGCAACTTCAAACAATGTTTATCTGGTTTTCTGACTTAAGCTCTGCAGTAAAATCTTCTTTACACCGAAAAGCACTTGTGTTAAAAAGTCATTTTTATGCAGCCTGTCACCGAAACAATCCCCAGCAGCCCAGGGGCCTCTGTCCCACGGCCAGCACAGTGCTGAATGCTTAGGCAAGCATCCCTGGATGTTCTGTTCCTTTTGTTCTCATTCATGTTATGGCCATAAAATAAATCCCCCGGGTTTTAAATACGTTATACACAGAGTGCATTTCTTCAAAGGGGAAGGTGGGATACGTCACCCTGGAACATTCCAGAGGCAAGAATGTGAACAGGGTCGGTAAGAGGAGAAATAGGGAGCAGCTCCGGAATGTATCCTGAAGTAACTGAAGATCCGCCCTGCTCTCGTCTGCCTTCTCCCGGGCCAGCAGCAGCAAGGGTCCTACCTTCAGGGCTGAGGGATTTGGAAAAGGAGTTACTGCCATTCCTCAGGCACATTCCAGTAAGGAAGTAAAGCTGCCAGGAGCAGGGAAGTGTCCCTGACTGTAGGTCAGTGGGAACTTTCTGTGTGGCAAGGTGTTAGTCAGCACTCCCACTGGCCACTAGTTCTAGCTCTGAAAAAGCCTCTCCCAACCCCCAGCGAGTTTTAGAAGATCCTGTCATTCCCACCCGACCCTCAGGAACACTGACAAGGTGATTTCCCTGGCAGAGAGGAGGGAATCTCAGAGAAGCTGATGCTCATCAAGGTCAGAGGACGGCACCGGGGCGAGCTCAGAACAGGAGACTGACTCCTGGTCACAGATGGCTTCTGCTTGAGCCCTTCCGGAAAGAAGACCTTGCTAGCTCCAAGGCAGAAGATTTCTGTTCTTACTTTCTGTCCGTAACATCTGCCTTCCATCCACTTAGCTGTGTCTTCCAGACCAAAAAACGTCTCCCTCTTTCCTCCAGGAGACAAGCCTTCAAATGTTTGAAGATGTCACTCAACCCTGCCCACCACTTCCCTTCTTTGGGGCACTGTAGCTAGTCCCCAGACACCGTGGCCGGCAGGTCTCCGCCAGCAGTCTGAAATGTGGTGCCTGGGACAAGACTCGGGGGTTTTGGGTGTGGTCTGACAAATGTACTGTGATGGGTAACTTTACGTGTCAATTTGACTGGGCCACAGGGTGCCCAGATATTGGGTCAAACACTCTTCTGAGCATTCCTGTGAGGGTGTTTGGGATGAGATTAACATTTAAACTGGTGAGTAAGTAAGACAGATAGCCCGTACCCTAATGTGTGTGGGCCTCACCCAATCACATACTAGTAACGGCCTGAATAGAACAAAAGGCTGGCCCTTCCCCCAGTAAGAGAGAATTCCCCTGCCCAGCAGCTCTTCCTGTCCTACAGCAGCTCGCTGCCCTTAGACCTCGAACTGGAACATCAGCTCTGCAGATTTCGGACTTGCTGGCCAATTCCTGACATAAATCTTTCTATAATGGGGACAGTGCATCAGGCCCAACATCACATTAGCTTTTATATCAGCTGAACGCTGTTATTATCTCAGGTTCATTGTTTTACCCTTTAAATATATACCCAACAAATGTTTACTGAGGGCCCACCTACTCTGTGCCAGGCACTGTTCTAGGTGTTGGGGATATAATAGAGAAGGCGAGAGACAAAAATTCCCCCTCCTTGTGGAGCTCCCAGTCTAGTAAGGAAGCCAGAGGAGCAAAATAAGTACAATACTTAATAATCGGTGCTACCGCAAAATTAGCTGAGAGAAGAGGAGAGAGGTACTATACTTTTACATGTTGTGCTGGGGAAAGTCTGAGAAAGTCCCTGAACAGTCAGAGACCGAAAGGAGATAAAAGAGCAAACCATGAAGCCCTGGCCAGCGTGGCTCAGTTGGTTGAGCATCATCCTTTGCACCAAAAGGCCACCATCTTGACTCCCGATTGGCCACATGTCCGGGTTGCACGTTTGCTCCCCCAACTGATCAGTGTTTCTCTCGCTCCCTCTCTAAAATCAATAAAAACACATTTAATAGAAAAAGAGAGAGAAGATACTATTTGAAAAGAGAGAGAAAGCACTCCACGCTGATGTCAGGGAAGAGCACTCATGATCAAGACAGCAGCAGGTATAAGGGTTTGGCGCGGGGAGGGAAGAGCAAGGAGGCCAGAGTGGCTGCAGCACAGGCGTGAGGAGACGGGTAGGAGAAAAGGTCAGAGGGGCTCAAAGAGGACACCAAGGTCCCACTGGACCTTGCAGACCCTGGTTAAGGACTGGGGGATGTAGTGCAGGTGCGATGGGCCGCCACTGAGAGTTCATCAAAACACCTAACAAATGTTTTAACAAGATCACTCTGGCTGCCATGTCCGGGCTACACTGGAGAGAGCCAAGGCGCAGGAAAGCGGTGGTAGGCTTCTGGAATTCACCAGGGGAGAAAGAGTGGCAGCTCACACCAGGGAGGTGGTAGTGGTGATGATGTACCTAAATCCATGGGTCTTTATTTTATTAGATCAAGCCTCTTCACGTCCTTCCCTTACACCATTAATTCTTTTAATATGAAAACAAAGACTTCTATTTATTCTTTAAATCCATTTTTCAAGCCCCTAGGGACCCCATAAAAATCTTTATTCTGCTGGCTGTCAGTATCTCTAAATTTTATATGTGTACCTTCTACACGTTCATCTAAATCCCCGAGGAGCTGGACAAGACAGGCTCAGTTCTGTGACTTATACTCCTCCCACGCATATTAAACAGCACTTGATGGGGTATTCGCCAACTACAGGTGACCCCACACACTGTCCCAACCTTGTCTGTGAAAGAATCATGCTAGAACCTACTGAGAGCCCTACTGAAATAAAGACAGTGTCAATGTCATTACTCTTCTAGTCAAAGCTCTAGTCCTGCCTCATCTTCATGGTATGGTACCCTTATTAGAGTCTGGCTTAGGTTAGCATTCGTGGAAGAGCACAGATGTAAAGAAATTAGCAAAAAAACAGAGAGGAAAAATATTTTTCTAATATGAGGAAGGGTTATAATCGCCATTGCAAGGAAAAGAACTACATGAGTGAATACAAAACCGTTTAAA